CCGGAGCTGATCGCAGCCACTCAGTCAATGCTTATACCGGCCGTGCCATGGCCCACAACTCATGCTTATCACATCGGTCACATCGTGCCACGTGGCAAGACAAAATACAATAGAATTCTATTGTATTTTGTCGTGCCGCGCCGTTCGCGTCCGGTGTAGAATAGAACCCATTATAATCACTTATGTTGTCTACACTGGATGCAGTAAACTGATACCTCGTTCTATTTATGACATGCTGACACAAAGTTCAAATGATTTTCAACGGTTGCTTTGTCGCGTTCTGTTGTGGCGCAGACAGTGTCAGCATAGTTTGTCAGTACGGTCAGTAACTTAGCAGATAGTTAGTATCTTTCTGCAGTCCAATAGACGGCAGTGCGGTGGTGGCTTGGGTCTGTTGAATGGTGATTTAACGCTACGTTGTCACCTAGTTGGAGAGACTCAATGCTAAGTAAATAAACAACAATGTCCTCGTCTTTTACTCTCGCGATGAGCTTCTCATATTCGTTTGTTACATTAGTAGGGCCCTATGATTTTCGCGATGCAGAAAACATGGATGGAATCGCGGAATCCAGTCATTTCATGGAGAGGTTTGAGAACCTCTGATGTAGGCTATTTACTGTATTCTATATACAGTACCAGTCAAAAGTTTGGACACACGAATGGGAAGTGTTTCCAAACTTTTGACTATACTGTACTATAATATAGCCTACACATAAAGAATATCGGCCGATATATCGGCATCTGTCTTTTTTTACTACCTAATATTGGTATCGGCATCAGCCCCCAAAAAACCCATATCGGTTGGGCTCTAGTCTGGAGTGAAAGGAAATAGAATGCTAGTTACAAACATAACGAAGTGGAAGAGATCGGTTGGGGGTTATTGTTAGGGATGGGCGATATCTTATCGTTTGCGATATACCGGTAAAAATTTTCCACACAATAAGAATTCGTCTTCCCGCGATAATAACGATAAAGTCTAGTTGTTGACATATTTCTGTGTACGACTGTGTGGAGT